TGCTGTTTTCTTCTATTTTCTTTTCTCTTTTCTTTTGCCTATAGCAGAATTATGCATTTCTTCAGTATCATCCAACTTTTCAAGAACCTGTTCAAGCTGCTTTTGTTGTTCAGTGATAAGATATTCAAGTTTAGCTTATCTTTTAGTAATATGTTCAATTTGGGTAAAGCATTTTTGTCTGACGCTTAAAATCTTTAACAGAGTTCATAAATCAACAGGCAGTAGTACTAATAAATAATATATTATTAGTCAATATATTAAAAGATAAAATACATATTAATTATATAAATATATTAACCTGGATTTTCATCATAAACAGCAGAAGGAGAAGAGTCAACAATGACTTGGGACTAAATTATAAAAAAATCATTATATTTTTAAGTAGTTCTTTTTTAAAAAAAATAAAATAAAATAAAATAAAACTTACAAACTCATAGATGATTGTTTGCTAAATGTATTGCTAGTAGTAGTCATGGGAAGGTCAGAAGTTGCTGCATCAGCTTTTCTTTTTTAGTTAAAGAAATGGACTGCAATAAGTTGTTTAAATTTGTCGATTGTGTTGATGTGGTTAATTGTGCTGTTTGAGACAATGTGATTGCTTTTGCTAATATAGGTAATTGTAATGACATAGTTAAGGTGTTTAAAGTAGGTAATTTTGATTGCAACAAAACTCGAGAAGAATTAGTCAATAGTTTAGTTGAAGCAGATAATTTCGATTGCAATGAAGTTTGAGGTAAATTTGTTAATATTTTTTCATTATTTGTTGTACTTTGTTCAGTCAATAATTATTTTGGTTATTGTAAAGAAGAAAGGTTAAAAGATGGGCTGATTGTTTTATTTTTTTCTTTGTTTATAGTTCAATAGTAACAATTAACAAGACTATAAAACAAAAAATTCTTCACTTATATATTATTCTAAAATTAATTATAATCATTGCTTTATAAATATGTCAGTTATCTGAGTTAATATATCAATATATTTATAAAACTAGAAAATATTTCTAATGAATTATTACCTTACATCAATATATCTTAATAATTTTATGCAATTCAATTATGTTATTAAAACTTTGAATTCTTGATTCTAAAAATATTTAAAATGAATAATTTATTAATATTTTTTATTAATTACAATTTTATTTTTATCTATAAATTGGTTTTTTTTTTCTAAACTAATAACTTGACAGATAGTAAAATACTTAATAATCTCAATAGTATAAAGCTACTTTTTTATTTCCAATTTGTATACAAATTTATATTATATTAGCTGACTATATACTAATATGGTCTTAACATTTTTGGCTTAATTTTTATCTCTATATTCATCTCACAAATATTGATTCAATAGATTTTCTGTGTATGTTGTCCACATAGCAAATTCCATATTTCAATTTGTTGATGCTTGTATATTCATAGCACAGACAAATTCCAATATGAATTGCTAAAATTGATCAGAATAAAAACTGTTTATTTATCAAATATACCTGTCTTTTAAGTTCAACATTTTATCCCTCATAGTTGTATTCTTTATTGGCAATTAACTTATAGAAAGTATGATGCTAGAATGCATAAATTTGTGGATGCTTGGTATTAAGCATGAAAAAGTTTACATTGATATGTGACTTATCTCAGTAAGGTGACTATGCAGAGATATTATTGATGGGTAAATTATTAATATATATTTGAATATTGGACTATGGTAATAGTTATCGTTAGCTATTTCTGCTTAATGATACCAAGAGATATGAAAATAACAGAGTTCAATTTAAGCAATTGAGATTGTACATAATTGTCATTACATAATTTTTATTTAGTTGTGTTAATTATTAAAGTTGAACTCTTATAAATGTAGGTTTGTATTACATACCTCTAGTTTACTTTAATAGTTAATAACAATAGATTGGAATAATTGTCTAACAAATTATCATATGTCTTTCTTGAATAACTGATATAATGGAAAAGTCAACTTCATAATGAATGAATTTTTAAATTTTGAGTTTGCACTTACTTTTTAATAATTCAAATAATTTTTTAATAATGTTGACTAGTTCTTCTTTTGTACCACTTTGTTGAATTCATTATCATTGCATATTAAATTTTTTGTTAAATTTTATGCACCTTTGCTTCAAGTTGCTTGGCTATTTAATTTAGACACGAATGCATTGATTAGGTTCAATATAGTTGGGTAAAAGTTTTTTTCAATAAGCACAGTGAACAAGACTTCTGAGATATCCGTTATTCAACTAGTGTATTATATATCATTAAATTTTTTAAAATGAAATGATTCTGTAATAAAGAATAACACTATGTATTAAAGCTTTTACAATTTTTGGGGTGGTCAAAAAAAAAAAAGGTGAATAAGCTAATTCAAATCTTTAAAAATTTTCTTATATACATGCATTTGATAGTAGTACAAATCTAAAAGCATAATGAGATCTGTGTAATATAACTTTAAAGTTAATACTATAATACAGTTAATATCAGTACTAAACTGGTATTTTAGTGATAGACTTTTATTCAATTAACCAATCATATTATTTTAATTATATTACATATTAGATGTTAGTTAACTTATGACATTGCATAAATATATGATGCACAATTGTTCTGAACCAGGCTGTAATAAATACTTTAATCATCATTCTTCTGTGTGCAACCATTTAAAAATCCATAATAATACAATTAGAGACCTTCTTCAAGAAATTGTTATAGCAAAAAACACTAATAACATATTAAGGAAGGAACAATTTATTCAATGGGAAGATGAAATTAATAATCAATAGAACAATAACCAGCTAGATGAAATAGATGGGTTTTTATTTAATAATAGTGAAAATATTAAATCAGAAATAGAAAACAATATAATAGATAAGATAACAAATAGGTTAGAATTTAGTTATAGTGAAGAAATAAATAATGAA